TTACAATAAATACTACTTGTCTCACCCTAGATTAAGACTATAAATATTTTAAGGTAAGTAATGAGTGCACTATGTGTGTATTGTACTTTTTTATTGTTTTTTGATACCTGGTTCTATTGCTAACTTAATATATGTTAGTGTAAACTTGTTATCTAGTGTTCGTATGCATTTGTAAGTGTAAAAAAGGGTGTTCCACTTTACGGCGGTAGCCTGGAACCTAACCAGCCGTATAAGTGGGGCCTTCCTGTATGTAAACAAATGTACATCATCTTTTTTTTCTTTTTTTTACATTTGAAAGTGTGTAAAAAAACTTTTATCCACATGTTTTTTTTTTTTTTGTTATATTTGAAAATATGTAAAAAAAAAACGTAGATCTACTTTAGGAGCACTACGGATTTGAACGTCGATCTATCTGGACCGTTTAAGAGTTAATGGTATTTCAATTAACCCTTTGACTGTTTCGGCCGTATATATACATCTTACGAGCCAGTGTTTCGGACGTATATATACTCAATAATTCTAGCAGCTTCAAATCAAGCAGGAGAAAGCTGGTAGGCCCACATGTGAGAGAATAGATGTGTGTGGTCAGTGTGCACTGTATAAAAAAAATCCTGCAGCACGCAGTGCATGAGAGAGAAAAAACTCCGACCATGTTTTTGGATTAAAACACCGACTTTGAGGTGTATTTTCCTATAGTATTTATGGTTGTATTCTCGTTTTTTTTGGTCTCATTTGATAGAATGAGACCAAAAATAGAGAATAGAGACAGAAATAGAGATGATTTTCATTAGTTTCACAATGAAAACGACCTTGAAATTGAGCTCAAAGTAGTGGAAATGTTCGATTTTTACCAATGTTCAAGAGTAAGCAAATCACACCATACGTCCAATACACGTCAACTGGGGAGTCTAATATTCTTTCACTAGTGCACTGATATTATTTATACCATTTTTACAATACTGCAGACGTCTGCCTAACAGTAAATCTTCTATTTTTTGTGTGAATAAAAAATCAAAATAGAAAGCAAGAGTAATATAAGAGGGGCCTGGAGATGTGACTAATGAACAGAGGATATGTTATTTTAGTGCCAAGAATGTCTGCACTGTTTATTCTGGACCCTATTTTGAAATTGGCATCTTTTTTAATCTGTGTGAAATTGGCCAAATTGCCAATTTCTGACCACTTTATTGGGTAGCTGAAATCGGTAAATGGGTGGTTTCTTGTACTCAATTGATAGAAAAAATAAAGTTCTAAAGAAATAGCTATGAGTTTGGTCGACTGGAACAATGGAATTGGCCGAAAATAGGGCTCAAAGTCGGCAAAATTGCCGATGCGTATACATCGCCAAGATCACTAACTTTGCGGTAGCGTAATTCCGTAAGTTTTCCATCAAATTTCGTACTTTTGGTGTCACTACCATCAGGAAAATATTCTCTATCATTTCATAAGAAAAAAATAATTGTTTTTTCCCAAAAATTTTTCAACACTAGGAGACACTTCAGGATTTGGGGTTGCGACAGTCAAAGGGTTAATTTAAATGAGGAAAATTAACCCAGCATACTAACAAATATGGATATGAACAAGTTAACGGAACGGATTAAATGCGTAAGCAAAGGTTCCACTGTATCAGTAAATCTGTAAATTGTGTATACAGTATACTCTATTAGTTATACAATTTTACTGCTGCTTTTAACTTCATTATTTTATTAACAAATCAGCCATCTCCCACCAAGGTAGGGAGGCCTGAAAAAAAGTAACCTTCATCCTCATTTACTCCGTTCCTGTCTTGCCAGAGGCATGCTTACACTATAGCTATAATGTATGTAGACACATAGTGATAGTACAGCCTCTCCTCACTTAGCTATGTACTCGTTTACCGACACCTCGGACTTACGACGGACTCTCTGACCAGTATTTATACCTAAATAATGTACATTACAGCTTTCTTCTATTCTGTATTCTATTTCAATATATAGTACACTGCTGTATATACACATAAAAATAAAAATGGTGCAAAGGTGACGTTAAAACAATATCAAAGATGGCTGACACGCACTCACTACCACTATAGTATGCTCCTCACTTAGCGACGAATTTACTTAATGATGTGGTCTCAGGAACGGAACTCTGCCGTTAAGGGAGGAGAGGCTGTATAATGTATGTAGGTGCATAGTGATAGTATATTTATTAATACAGTCATACCCTGACCTACATCATTAACTGGCTCCAAGAGCAGTGACGTAACCCGGTTTTTAACGGAAACTGGACATGATGGCTTAAAATGACAAACACCATAAAACTAGCATAAATAACTCATAAAAGAATATAACTATTGCTAAAACTTAAAGAACACTTAAAAATACATTTTGGTTATATTTTTTAAAGAATAATGAACACAATTAACCCTTAAACTGTCCAAACAGATCTATGTTCACATGTGTAGTGCTCCAAAAGTAGATCTACGTTTTTTACACATTTTCAAATATAACAAAAAAAGAACGTAGATCAAAGTTTTTTTTACACATTTTCAAATGTAAAAAAAAAAAAAAAAAAAAAGATCTACATTTATTTACATACTTTCAAATGTTGAAAAAATGTAGATCTACATTTGGACAGTTTAAGGGTTAAAAAAGCATGATGAAAAACACCTTTAGTGTAAACAACATGCTTTTAATCATATTTAACTTATCCTCCATTGTAACCACATTACGCTTGGAATCACTAGCACTTTCCTTCTTAGGCCCTATGGCTAACACAGACACAGTAAAAGAATAATCACTAAAATAACAGCCAAAGGCAAAACAAGCACATGACTGCAGCAGGGGGAAAAAATGCATATGGCATCGCCTTTGTATTAAATGAGAAACAGCACCAACATCGCCCCAGACATCTGTTTAAAATTTTCGATGTAAATACTATTTTATTGTATATGTATACATTTTTATGTTTTTAATGTGTTTTTATTGTACAGCAGACCGTCATTTAACCTGGTAGTTACGTTCCTGAAAACACCCTGTTAGGTAAAAGACCGTGTTAGATGAACTGAAGAACTTATGGGAAAAATAGGGTTACATTCCTGGGAGACCCAAAAAAGCCAAAACTTTTTTTTTAGGCCTCCACATCTTACAAAAATTGTAATTGTAATTGTAGTTCATTGTTGTGATGTATTATATTGTTTTTACTGCATATGATTACAAATACAACAGAAATAATAGTATTTCTTACCCTAAATTGTGGGTGCTGGTGTTTGTGGATGATTGTGGAGAGTGGATAGTTTTGCTGTGACCCTACTGGGCTGAGGTGGATGGTAGAGGTTCTGGTGCTGAAATCGATGGTTGTACTGGAGTGTGCATAAATTCCGTAATGGATTTCTGTTCTATTTTACCCTACAGTACATTATACAATTGATGGTAAGGCATCAGCTGCTCTAGACACCATTTCAGGGTCCTCTTCAGTGAAAAAGTCTAAGTCATTCAGTGAGTCAAGTCAGTAAGTCATTAGTAAGTCAGCAAGTGATTCAATAAGTCAGTAAGTTATTCAGTCAAGTCAGTAAGTCATTCTGTCGTAGGGGTTCCGGTTGATGGAATTGAAGAACAAACACACACGACAGATGACTGGTAACGAATATTAATGGTAAATAAAGGAGAGCACCAGGCCTGACCTGTCTCCTCTGCTAACCTGTCTTGAACTGAGGGCATCCAAGGCATTCAAAGAGTAACTCCTCGTGAAGTCATGCTGGGTCAGCAGTGAGTCACACAATGGTCAGTGATTCACATAGGGAAGCAGTGAATCAGTAATGGTTACTATGAGTACAGTAGTACACAGTATTGACAAGTCATTCAGTAAAGTCAGTCAGTCAAATCAGTAAGTCAGTCAAGCCAGTCATTAAGTAAGTTGGTCAAATCATTCAATCAGTCAGTCAAGCCATTCAGTCAGTCAGTCAAGTCAGTCAAGTCAATCAATCAAATCAGTAAGTCACTCAGTCAAGTCAGGCAGTCAAGTCATTCATTCAGTCACTCAGTCAAGTCAATCAGTCAAATCAGTAAGTCATTCAGTAAGTAAGTCATTCAGTAAGTAAGTCATTCAGTAAGTCAGTCACTCAGTAATTCAGTCAGTCATTCAGTAAGTCAGTCAGTCAATCACACAAACTCATGTTTACCTCATTTTATGTGCACAAAGTGAGCTTCATTATGGCCACAAGCTATCTCTTGTCTAATATCTCTGTTTTCTTCATTAATTCTAAGACTTAAATGCTTATACCTTTTCTTGCCACTTTCAGCAACACTGGTATGTCTACTGGGTGTCATGATTGCTTGGCAGATACAACATATGGTAATTAAAAGATCAAAACACATTTCACAAACACCACTAGCTTGTAGCAGAGAAGAGGAACTAACTGGACACGTATGAAGTATGAATGCTGGGATAGTGGGATAGTGGTGACGGGAGTGTCATGGGATGGCAGGGGATGGCGGGAGGTCTCCCCCGCTGATCCACAATAAGGCCACCACTCGAGGAAAAGGAAATTTTTTTTCCCCTCCTGGAAAATGACCTGTGTTAAATTAATTTTACAAAGTGCTAAATAAAATTGTGCAGCAATTCTTCAATCGTGCTATACCCGAATCATGCCAAATAAACTTGTGTTAAATGACAGTCTAGTGTATTTAAAATTTTTTTTTGAGCTTCTTTCATCTTTTATTATTAATTTTTATGTTTTTTATTTATTTTAAATTTATTTTTAAGGCCAAATTTATTTATTACACATCATTTTATTATGACGTAGGTGACGTTGTTGAGTGACGTAACGTTGGACATAATGACGTTTGCTGAACTGAAATTTATTCAAGAATAGTGGCATAAAGGCAAATCTGCCATAAGCCGAAATGACGTAAAGCGGGGTGTGACTGTATACTTATTTACTATAAATTAATTTCTATCTAGAATACTATTGTGAATTCCAAGAAAAAGGAGTTAGAAAACTATTTATTAAAGTATCTTACTTCTTCATCTTCACTCTCGAACTCCTCTTCTGGCTCTTGTTCCTCTTCAGCATCTTGAACTAGGTCTTCCTTGAGATCGTATGTTAACATCTCATCCCCGAATGTTTTCTTCTTTATAGCTCGGTTACTTCGCCTTACTGGCGATTCCTCTGCTTGTAAATTAAGCAGTGGTGTGTTTATCTTTTGTGCAGTTTGTGCCCCTCCAGTACTTCGCCTTCTCATCGTTTCTTCTGTAGATTTAGAAGTTGGTGGGTTTACCTTTTGTACAGCCTGAATACTCTTAGTATCCCGCCTCGCTGGTAATTCTTCTACAGGAGTGTTAGACCCTGGTAACTTCATCTTTTGTACAGCTTGCATACCTGTAATGCTCTGCTTTACCGGTGATTCCTCTGTAGGAAATTTAAATACTGGTGAGTTTATCTTTTGTACAGACTGTGTGCTCTTAGTACCCAGCCTTAATGGCGAGTCTTCCACATGAATGTTAGGCAATGGTGGGTTTATTTTGTTAATAGCTTCAGTACCCTTTATACTCTGCCTTACTAGTGACTTCTCTGCAGAAGATTTAGGCACTGGTGACATTACCTTGTGTATAGTATTTGTGCCTTTAATATTTCTCTTCGGTGTGGATTTTTCTGCAGGGGATTTAGGCATTGTTGAGTTTATCTTGTGTATACCTTGCCTGGTTTTAATTTTCTGCCTTAGTATTGATTTCTCAGGAGAACTGAGCACTGGTGAGTTTAGCTTATGCGTAGCTTGCACCTTACCTAGATTGTCTGCTATTATATTTGATTTCTTCTTTATTATTTCTCTGTTTCTTGATGCAAAATGTTCATTATTTTGTGAAGCTCTATCTTTTCTGACAGAGTCCTTGTCCACTTTCTTATCAAGTGCTTCACTGTTCTTTTGTTGAATATTTTGTTTCTTCTGAATGTCCTTCCTCTTTTTTATAGCTTCCCGTTTTCTTAAGATTTCTTCTCTCCTCTGTTGTATTTCTTCCATCTTTCTATGTGTTTCTTCTTTTTTCCTGTTAAGAAAAGATTCCTCACATGACTTAAGTGGATTTCCACCTTTCTGTAACTGTAACCTTTCAGTTTTGCTTTGTATGCTAGCCTGTCTATGTTTTTCTGCTTTGAATGAGACTGTATTCTCATTCACTGATTCAGTTTTGTTAGCACTTACAGTTTTCTGTGGCTCAATCTTTAGCTTTTGTAAGTGCAACTCTTTCTTTAACAAAAGTCTTTGCTTTGCAGGAGATATTTTCTCTTCTTCCCGTGGTGGATCTTTGGGCGGGATAACTTTCACTAATGTCTCCCGATACATTCCGGCTTTAGCAGAGTTTAAAACAACAACTTGTCGAACATCCATAGGGCTTTTCACCTGAATGACTTTTGGCTTTATTTCAGAACTAAGTTCCCTTTTTTCTACAAAACTGCTGACCTTGACATCAGGAAATGGTTCCTCACAAATTTCTTTACTAGAAATTTGCTGATTCCCATCTTTTGAGTCTGCCTCTGATTTCTTTGAAATATCATTTTCTTCTGTGCCTGTAGCATCACTCTTTAGTTTATTTTTATCAATAACTTTAGTGCTAGAGTTTAGTTTTTCATTTTTTTCATGTACAACAGCCTGTCTGCTTTCTTCACATTCTTGTTTTTTTGCACTATTCTGTTCATTCTCTTTACTAATTACAGTTGTCTGTCCAGTTTCTTTTTTTATTTGTTTCTCAACAAGTAGAATCTTTCGAGATTTAACTGGTTTACCATTTCCCTTCACCATTATAGTTTGAGGTGGATGAACCTCACCAACTTTAAGCATGACATCTGGTGTTGAAAATAAGGCTGGCTCAAACTGGGGTATTATTTTTGGTGTTACTGGTGGTTTCTTGTTCTTCTTCTTGGAAACATCAACTGGTGTTTCTGGCTCCTGATTTACTTGTGTTTCTTCTAATTTAACATTCTCAGTTTCACTCACAATAGAATTTGTTGTGCACTGCTCCTTATTTACTGTTGAATCCTCTTCATTACCTGGGGAAGACACCTTGATGTCCAATGTTTGCTCCAAATTCATTTTCTTAACACTAACTTTCAGCTCTTTTATCTTGATACCTAACAAAAGAAGAAATATATATAGCAGGAGTCATGACAAAAAATTAATATACCTGAAAAATAGGTACAAAAAATACTACTGAATGTTTACAAGAAAAAATCAATAAGGCCAGATGAGTTAACATCTGTTTTGTTTATTATTACTTTATTACACAAAAATAAAAAGAAATACACAAACAAAAAACAATACACACTGCCAATATCTAAAAATATGTGACAGTGAAGGCCTTTTGAACTAGAGGTCATTATTGTTTACAAATTTGTTGCAGAAATCTGGAAAAATTATTAGAAGTAAATGGATAAAACTTTTGGGAGAGCAAAAGACTCCTAACTAGTAAATGACACAGTTTTTGATCAACAAATTCCTGCAAAACAACCAGTTACACTATTTTGACACAGAAATTATTCAAGAAACAGTTAAAAAAAAAAAACATTTACCGTATTTTACGGTATCGAAGACGTTATTTTTTCTCCAAAGTATGGCTAGAAAATTTACCCAGCGTCTTGAAAGATGAAGTTTAAGTTGCTCATAGGTCTCAGCCTAAGCCTAGAGAAGTGTTTTTACAGTAATCTAAGCTCTTGTAATCCCAATAATAAACTGTGTAAATTATTTTGTACAAAATAATGAATAAATAAAAAAATCATAATCGTAAAAATTCACTGATGCTTAGCAGTGGCAGGCTAAGGTAAATCAGGCGAGGGGATGGGATGGACTACAGGTAGTATCAGTAGGCTAATTTGCTTGTTTACTATAAAACCACCCAGTAATAACATTCTAACTCACCTCAAACAAGCCCGATATTAACCTTTTCAGGGTTTCTGATGTACTAATACGGCTTATGCACCAGGGTTATTGACGTTCTAGTACGCCTAAATTCTAGCACCTTCAAATCTAGCGAGAGAAAGCTGGTAGGCCTACATATGAAAGAATGGGTCTATGTGGTCAGTGTGCACAGTATAAAAAAGTCCTGCACCACACAGTGCATAATGAGAAAAAAAACTCCAACAGTGCTTTTGGTTTAAAACAGCAACTTTGCAGTGTATTTTCGTATTTTCGTATGGTAGTCGGTTGGTAGACAGCAACAACCCAGGGAGGTACTACCGTGCTGCCAAGTGAGTGTAAAACGAAAGCCTGTGACTGTTATACATGATGGTAGGATTGCTGATGTCTTTTGTCTGTTTCATAAATATGCAAGATTACAGGTATGTCTTGCTACTTCTACTTACACTTAGGTCACACTACACATACATGTACACATTTATTTATACACAGTCATCTGAGTTTTCTTTGATTTTATCTTAATAGTTCTTGGTCTTATTACTTTTCCTATTATATCCATGGGGAAGTGGAATAAGAATCTTTCCTCCGTAAGCCATGCGTGTTGTAAAAGTCAACTAAAATGCCGGGAACAATGGGCTAGTAACCCCTTTTCCTGTAAAGATTACTAAAAAGAATAAGAAGAAGAAAATTGTCAAAGTGGGAAGTCTGAATGTGTGTGGATGTTGTGCAGATGATAAGAAAGAGATGATTGTGGATGTTATGAATGAGAAGAAGCTGGATGTCCTGGCTTTAAGTGAAACAAAGCTGAAGGGGGTGGGAGAGTTTCAGTGGAGAGGAATAAATGGGATTAGGTCAGGGGTTTCAAATAGAGTTAGAGCTAAAGAAGGAGTAGCAAAAATGCTGAAGGATAAGCTATGGCAGGAAAAGAGGGACTATAAATGTATTAATTCAAGGATTATGTGGAGTAAAATAAAGATTGGATGTGAAAAGTGGGTTATAATAAGGGTGTATGCACCTGGAGAAGAGAGAAGTGTAAAGGAGAGAGAGAGATTTTGGGAAATGTTGAGTGAATGCGTGGGGAGTTTTGAATCAAGTGTGAGAGTTATGGTGGTTGGGGATTTCAATGCTAAAGTGGGTAAAAATGTTATGGAGGGAGTAGTAGGTAAATTTGGGGTGCCAGGGGTAAATGTAAATGGGGAGCCTTTAATTGAGCTATGTGTAGAAAGAGATTTGGTAATAAGTAATACATATTTTATGAAAAAGAGGATAAATAAATATACAAGGTATGATGTAGCATGTAATAAAAGTAGTTTATTAGATTATGTATTGGTGGATAAAAGGTTGATGGGTAAGCTCCAGGATGTACATGTTTATAGAGGGGCAACTGATATATCGGATCATTATTTAGTTGTAGCTACAGTTAGAGTAAGAGGTAGATGGGAAAAGAGGAAGGTGGCAACAACAAATAAGAGGGAGGTGAAAGTGTATAAACTAAGGGAGGAGGAAGTTCGGGTGAGATATAAGCGACTATTGGCAGAAAGGTGGGCTAGTGCAAAGATGAGTAGTGGGGGGTTGAAGAGGGTTGGAATAGTTTTAAAAATGCAGTATTAGAATGTGCGGCAGAAGTTTGTGGTTATAGGAGGGTGGGGGCAGGAGGAAAGAGGAGTGATTGGTGGAATGATGAAGTAAAGGGTGTGATAAAAGAGAAAAAGGTAGCTTATGAGAGGTTTTTACATAGCAGAAGTGTTATAAGAAGAGCAGAGTATATGGACAGTAAAAGAAAGGTAAAGAGAGTGGTGAGAGAGTGCAAAAGGAGAGCAGATGATAGAGTGGGAGAGGCACTGTCAAGAAATTTTAATGAAAATAAGAAAAAATTTTGGAGTGAGTTAAACAAGTTAAGAAAGTCTAGGGAAAGTATGGATTTGTCAGTTAAAAACAGAGTAGGGGAGTTAGTAGATGGGGAGATGGAGGTATTAGGTAGATGGCGAGAATATTTTGAGGAACTTTTAAATGTTAAGGAAGAAAGAGAGGAGTAATTTCATGCACTGGTCAGGGAGGTATACCATCTTTTAGGAGTGAAGAAGAGCAGAATGTAAGTGTGGGGGAGGTACGTGAGGCATTACGTAAAATGAAAGGGGGTAAAGCAGCTGGAACTGATGGGATCATGATAGAAATGTTAAAAGCAGGGGAGGATATAGTGTTGGAGTGGTTGGTACTTTTGTTTAATAAATGTAGGTAGTAGGTTGGTAGACAGCAACCACCCAGGGAAGTACTACCGTCCTGCCAGATGACTGTGAAACAAAAACCTGTAACTGTTTTGCATGATGGTAGGATTGCTGGTTTCTTTTTCTGTCTCATAAACACGCTAGATAACAGGGATATCTTGCTACTCCTACTTACACTTTGGTCACACTTCACAGACACGCACATGCATATATATATATATACATACATCTAGGTTTTTCTCCTTTTTCTAAATAGCTCTTGTTCTTTTTTATTTCTTCTATTGTCCATGGGGAAGTGGAAAAGAATCTTTCCTCCGTGAGCCATGCGTGTCGTATGAGGCGACTAAAATGCCGGGAGCAATGGGCTAGTAACCCCTTCTCCTGTATACATTTACTAAAAAAGCGAAGAAGAAAAACTTTATAAAACTGGGATGCTTAAATGTGCGTGGATGTAGTGCGGATGACAAGAAACAGATGATTGCTGATGTTATGAATGAAAAGAAGTTGGATGTCCTGGCTCTAGGCGAAACAAAGCTGAAGGGGGTAGGAGAGTTTCAGTGGGGGGAAATAAATGGGATTAAATCTGGAGTATCTGAGAGAGTTAGAGCAAAGGAAGGGGTAGCAGTAATGTTAAATGATCAGTTATGGAAGGAGAAAAGAGAATATGAATGTGTAAATTCAAGAATTATGTGGATTAAAGTAAAGGTTGGATGCGAGAAGTGGGTCATAATAAGCGTGTATGCACCTGGAGAAGAGAGGAATGCAGAGGAGAGAGATTTTGGGAGATGTTAAGTGAATGTATAGGAGCCTTTGAACCAAGTGAGAGAGTAATTGTGGTAGGGGACCTGAATGCTAAAGTAGGAGAAACTTTTAGAGAGGGTGTGGTAGGTAAGTTTGGGGTGCCAGGTGTAAATGATAATGGGAGCCCTTTGATTGAACTTTGTATAGAAAGGGGTTTAGTTATAGGTAATACATATTTTAAGAAAAAGAAGATAAATAAGTATACACGATATGATGTAGGGCGAAATGACAGTAGTTTGTTGGATTATGTATTGGTAGATAAAAGACTGTTGAGTAGACTTCAGGATGTACATGTTTATAGAGGGGCCACAGATATATCAGATCACTTTCTAGTTGTAGCTACACTGAGAGTAAAAGGTAGATGGGATACAAGGAGAATAGAAGCATCAGGGAAGAGAGAGGTGAAGGTTTATAAACTAAAAGAGGAGGCAGTTAGGGTAAGATATAAACAGCTATTGGAGGATAGATGGGCTAATGAGAGCATAGGCAATGGGGTCGAAGAGGTATGGGGTAGGTTTAAAAATGTAGTGTTAGAGTGTTCAGCAGAAGTTTGTGGTTACAGGAAAGTGGGTGCAGGAGGGAAGAGGAGCGATTGGTGGAATGATGATGTAAAGAGAGTAGTAAGGGAGAAAAAGTTAGCATATGAGAAGTTTTTACAAAGTAGAAGTGATGCAAGGAGGGAAGAGTATATGGAGAAAAAGAGAGAGGTTAAGAGAGTGGTGAAGCAATGTAAAAAGAGAGCAAATGAGAGAGTGGGTGAGATGTTATCAACAAATTTTGTTGAAAATAAGAAAAAGTTTTGGAGTGAGATTAACAAGTTAAGAAAGCCTACAGAACAAATGGATTTGTCAGTTAAAAATAGGAGAGGAGAGTTATTAAATGGAGAGTTAGAGGTATTGGGAAGATGGAGGGAATATTTTGAGGAATTGTTAAATGTTGATGAAGATAGGGAAGCTGTGATTTCGTGTATAGGGCAAGGAGGAATAACATCTTGTAGGAGTGAGGAAGAGCCAGTTGTGAGTGTGGGGGAAGTTCGTGAGGCAGTAGGTAAAATGAAAGGGGGTAAGGCAGCCGGGATTGATGGGATAAAGATAGAAATGTTAAAAGCAGGTGGGGATATAGTTTTGGAGTGGTTGGTGCAATTATTTAATAAATGTATGGAAGAGGGTAAGGTACCTAGGGATTGGCAGAGA